AGAGAGAGAGAGAGAGAGAGAGAGAGAAAGAGAAAGAGAAAGAGAAAGAGAAAGAGAAAGAGAAAGAGAAAGAGAAAGAGAAAGAGAGAGTGTTTGGAGTTTTAAGGAGAAATAAAATTTGCCACAAGCACCCTCTGAAGAAAAAAAGAAGGCAAACTCTCATAAATCAAATATGCCTCTTTTTTTTTGAGGAGGGAGGGAACCAGAAATTGAACTCAGGACCTTGCACTTGCCAGGCAGGCGCTGTGCTGCTGAGCTATACCCCTGGCTACAAATCAAATTTGATACCTTCTTTATTAAAAAGCATCTTCATTTATATTCCTGTACAGGGGGCAGAGCAGATAAACTATAAAGTATAGACTTGGGGTGATAAAATGTCAGGAGCACTTCAGACAATGAGGAAAGAATAAAAGCTTAGGTTTATCTGGGTATCAGAATCATTCTATTGACAAGCCAACTGTCTTTACCTCATCTTCCTCAAATCTTCTCCCTAGAAATTCAGCATTTTAACTACTCAAGAAGTATAATTAAAATGAGGCTAATACATGGGGGATGATTTAAAATTCCACTTCACCAGTTCAGGTCCCATAGTGTCAAGGCTTGAGTCGTAACCAGGGGTAGATTAGGGTGAGAATTGACAGGATGGAGGACACAAGGCCACAGAGCCCCACAATTCCAGGGCCACAGCGCCAGAGGCCTAATTTGTCCAGTGGAATAAAGAGATCACAGGCATTTTTAACCACATCCAGCAGAAGTGGGGGATGACCTTGAAGGACCCGAGCCAGGAGCAACAGTTGGAGCCGAAGCTTCAGAGCCAGCTGAGGCAGGCCTCTTCCTGGAGTTCCTGGTCCTCCAGATCCTCCAGTTTCAAGTCCTCCTGGGACTCCTCCTGCAGAGCCCTTCAGTCTCCGGTGACAAGCTGAAGACTCTTGTTCCATGAGTAAGCGAATTTCATAAGCATCACGGCTCAAATTCATGATGAGGGAAAAGAGATAGTACCTGAGATTCACCAAGCAAAAGGATTAGACAGAGCATATAAACCTACTTAACATGCCAACATAACACCGAACTTTTTTCCGCGTATTACAAGGAATATACATCAGAGCATCATAAATAAATGCTATAACCAACTACTAGAAATATTCTCCCTTCCCAGGTATTGTGGTCTGCATCTAGATGTCCCTCAAAAGCCATAGGTGAGGCCTTTGGAAGATGATTGGATTAAGGGGCTCATAGCTGGCTTGCTGTTAGAAAGTGGGGTCCCTGGGGGCATAGCCTAGAAGGGTCTGTCTCCCTTCCCTGCTTCTTCGCTCCCTCTCTGCTTCCTATTCACCATGAGGTAAGTGACTGTTCTTCTCTTACGCTGCTGTGCCACGCCGTCCTGCCTTGGAGCCAAATGACCGTGGAATGAAACTGGAACCTAAATAAACTTCTCCTTCTTTAATTTGTGGGTGTCAGATACTGTGTCTCAGTGATGAAGGAAACAGCCAAGACACCAGGCGTGGTGCTACATGCCTATATAAAATCCTAGCAGTAAGGAGACTGAGGCAGAAGGAATGAAAAAACTCAAGGCCAACCTGAGCTCCAGAGTAAAACCCTGTCTTCAAAAATAAACAGGGAAAATATGTCCTTCCTTGAAGTCATTATGTTAGGTGAAATAAGCCAGACACAGACAAATACAACATGATCTTATATGTGGGCTTTTAAAAAAAACCTAATTCATAGAAGCAAAGAATAGAAGGGATGCCTGGGGAGAAAACCCAGTGGCATAAGTGCCTGCCTCACAAGCACAAGGTCCTGAGTTTGATACCCCAAAAAAAAAAAAAAAAAAAAAAAGTTTAAAAGAATGGAAGGGATGAATGCCAGAGACTGGGGGTGAAAGAAGGGAAGATATTGGTCAAAGGTCATAAAGTTTTAAATATGCAAAAATGCATAAATTCTGCAGTGCAACATACAGGATGCTGACTATACTTAACAATAAAGACAACTGTGAGGTGATAAACTTGTTACCTAGATTGTGTTGATCATTTCACAATGGTATATATATGTTACACTGTACTCCATAAATAGATTCAGTTTCTAATTAGCATTACACCCTAATAAAAATGAAAAAAAAATCCTCCTACCATTCTGTAAATATTATTTGTGTATATGTGCACCTTAAGATCTTGATGTAAAATTCATTAGCAGCATGAAATCTTCTAAGATCAACTTCAAAGTTCACTTCTGAGGCACACCCTTAGCATATACTAGATTCAACTTGACAAATAATGCAAACGTGTTTTGAAAGAACACATTTCAGTTGTTTAAGAGACTCATAACATTACAAATCATCTAAATTCAATTCCTTCCATTTGTTTGAGACAAGGTCTCACTATGTAGCTCAGGCTGGCCTTGAACTCACTACAATCCACTTGCCTTAGGCTCCCAACTTCTGGGATTACAAGCATGCACTGCCACACCTGCCTAAATTCAATTCTCTAAGAAAAAACATTTAAAAGAAGTGTTAAGGGCTGGTGAGATGGCTCAGTGGTCTAAAGCACCTACTTAGAACAAGCTTAGCAAAGCACAGGGACCGCGGTTCAATCCCCCAGCACCACATGCCAGCCAGCCCCGCCCCCTGGTGAGCTGAGCTGGTCCCACACACACACACACACATAAATAAATTTAAAAAAAAAAAAAAAAAGAAGTGTTAAGAGGTGGGCTAGCCAGATAGCTCAGTGGATTAAAGCACTTGCTTAGGCAGATGCAGGGGCCAAAGGTTCATCACTGGCCTGCCATGCTGGCCCTGTGGTGCCAGCCCAGCCCCCAGGGCATGCTGAGATGCTGAGATATGAATGAGACTGGGCATGGTGGTGCAAGCCTGTTATCTCAGTGCTTGGGAGGCTGAAAAGAGGAGGATCACTGAGTCTGATCTGTGTAGTGAGACCCTGCACTAAATACATTTTAAAAAAAAAAGTGTTAGGTGATTGCTAAACATGTTAGACTATAAATTCCTTAAGTGAAAAATCTGTGTTACTACTGTTTTCAGTGCTGAGAATCAAACCCAGGGCCTTACACATGTCTGTAAAAGTTCTACTATTGCCTAAGCAGGCACTTTAGTTCACTGAGCTATCAGGCTGGCCCTATGCTTCTATTTCTAATTTACTCTTACAATAGTGCTTGGTAATCAACAAACTGTCCTACCTCTAAAATACATCCCTTTTATGAGCAGAATATATTTACTGGGGGAAAGAAAGCTCCTGTCCAAGAGAGGGATGGGAGGCGGTCCCAAGCAGGTAGTTCCTGGGAAGCTGTCTCTTCCAGGGACTTTTATAGAGGAAAACCATGGGGTGAGGCAGGTCTAAGGTGGTGGAGAACGTGGGAACTTGCTTAGGTGGGCATGAGGTGGGACAAAGCTATGGTCAACCAATGAGATTACAAGTACCATTGCTCAGGTAAGATTAAATCCAGTACCTAATGTACCAGTCAGGTAGCAAGCGGGCATGAATATGGGACAGGGTCTCTTCCTGTTGAAGGTTGGATTAGTGGCTCATTTGGGCTCTTTCAAGATGATTGATACTTATTTAGAATATCAATCCCTGATGCCCATCCTTAGGGAAGTATGTAGCTGTACTTGTTTCCTCTTTAGTCTTGAGATCTGTCCTCTAAAACATATCCTGAAGCCAGTCATATTTCTCTATTACTCTCTACCACAGTAGTTTACTTGCCTGGACTACTGCTTTTGCCTTTTAACCTGTCTCTCTGTAGCTTATTTTATAATTTAATTTAATTTCTTTCTTTCTTTCTTTCTAACATGTATGGTACAGGGTTTCAGTAACGCAGCTCGGACTTGTAGTGAACCTCCAGTTTTCAGCCTTCCCAGTGCTGGGATTACAGGCGTGTTCCACCATGCCTGGTCTCTGTGGCTGGCTCAGCATGCCCAAGGGCAGGACAGGGACCAGCAAGACATGTAGATTAAACTCCAGTCCCTGAGCTTATCTAAGCAGGTGTTTAGTCTGCTGAACTACTTGTCACATTTGTCCCTTCTTGTTACAATGTAAATTCCAGAGGAATTTAAATCACTGTACCTGTGTGTCTAGAAGCAATGC